CTATATCACAATGTGATCTGATGAGATTAATAAAGAATATTCTATTCTATTCAACACCGTGACCCAATTAGATTGGAAACACCTCTATAAAATTTGAAGTTGTTAACCGATTTTAACCAAATTTTTTTAATGTTATGTAATAAAAGGTCTATTGCGGGACAAAATATGAAATATTTAGTTAAATTTTCAGGGCATTCTACGATACTTTTTCTTCGTCAAAAATGAATTATTTGTATTAGCGATTTTATTATTAAAAAAATTTCTACGCTACTGGATTTAGAGTGGCTTCAAATAGTTATGACAAAAATTTCATTAAAATATATTTATTAATAACGAAGTTATGACAACTTAAATTTTTAAAACTCACTAAGCTATGAGTCAAAAAAGAACACCCTGTATCAATAGATAACCATAAAACTGTAACAATAAAACACTGAAAACTTTGTTTTCAAACTTCCACAAAATTTATTTTAACTATTATCACTACAGCTGTTTCGGCTGATAGCCTTTCTCAAGTGATCTATTTTTGGCATGCGTTTACAATTTATAGTCTCTAATGAAATAGGTTGAGGAGGGGAGAACTGTTTGTCTCAAGTTGGTCATTCAGAATTATATCTGTGTTTTTTAATTTATTGATTTCCATAGATTCTAACAAAGATAGCTTAAGGCCTTTATTTTGAACGTGAAGAATTTTAAATTTGTATTAAAAGAATGATTATGATCTAGAAGGTGAAGTGCGTATGTCGAATCTGTTTTTCTATTCTTGAAAGCCCCTTTATGTTCTGCTATTCGTTTCTAAAAGTTTCTACCAGTTTGACCGATGTAAGTTTTTGGGCAGTCGCCACATTGAATTTTATACACACCACTATTTAAGTGTTTTTTATTTTGGCTCTTGTTATTTTTAATATATTTACCTAGGTTGTTATTTGTTCGGAAAGCTGGTGTTATTCCTTTCTTTTTTATATGTTTGGCAATTTTTGTTGTTATTTTGCCTGTATATGTAATCGAGCAGAAGGTACTGGGTTTTTTCTCTGGTGGTGGAAATACTATTTTCAGGGCTTTCTTGTGTAGTTTTTGATTTAACATTTTATTAATTGTTTGTTCGTTGTATCCGTTGTTTACTGCTATTTGCTTAATTATATTTAATTCTGTCTCAAAGTTGTCTTTTGACATCGGAATTTCTGTTAATCTATGTAACATACTATGATAAGCTGCCAGTTTATGTTGTGTTGGATGAGATGATGAATTGTGTATAGTCGTGTCAGTATGGGTAGGTTTGTGAAATATAGAGAAGTCATGTTTGTTTTGAAGTCTGCTAATTTTTAAATCTAAAAAATTTATGCATTGATTTTGTTCTGTTTCTATTGTAAATTCAATATGACTATGAAGTGAATTAATATACGATGAAAATTGGTCGAGTTGCCTGTTAGTTCCTGTGAAACATACCAGTACGTCGTCTACGTATCTCCACCAATATAAAAACTGTTTGAATACGGGATGTTTTGAAATTTTTGTCTCTAGATGATCCATAAAAATATCTGATAGCAATGGGCTTAGAGGATTACCCATTATAAGTCCTGCACTGTTATTTGTATATATTTTATTATTAAATTCAAAGTAGTCCTGGTTTATGCAAACTTCAAGAAGATGTAATATTTCAGATGTAATTACTGGATTTGTACTATTTTGGTCTAAAAGGTTTTTTACTAGAATAAAAGTTTCTGTAGGAGGGATACTAGGAAAAAGATTTTTTACGTCAAATGAAATTAATCTGGAGTTGTTAGGTAATTGAAAATGTTGTATTTTATTAACTAGTTCTATTGTATTTTTTATGGTGAATTTAGGTGAAAATTTAGTGTGTTCTAAAATAATCTCTAACAGTTTTTTGGAAAGTTTATATGACGGAGCTGTATAAAAAGAAACTACAGGTCTTATTGGGTGATCCGGTTTGTGTAGTTTAATGAAAGAGTATAATTTAGGAGGATGTGGGTTCATGATATTGAGGTATTTCTGTTCTATTGGATTTAATATTGCTTTTGAATTTTCTAACGCTAGCTTAATTTGTTTTTGATATTTTTCTGTCGGATCTTTGTGTAAAGTTTCAATATTTTGATTATTTAAGAATTCTATTGTTTTGTTATTATATTCTATTTTATCTATAGCAATAGTAGTGTTACCTTTGTCTGCTTTTGTAAACACAATGTTGTTTTCTATTGATTTATTTTTAATGGAAATTGCTGTTGTATTCTCTTTGTAACATGAATTCTTAGTTTCACTACACATATCTGTATATGTGCAGTGAAATGAAATTCTAAAATGAATTTCCATCAAGTAACGGTCGAATCCATCAACCATAAAACTAATTATTTTTCAAATAATTTTAATAATAAACCTTTACTAGACAAAAAAATGTTTAAGATAAAAATTTAATGCAAGTAGGTAACACACTTACATTATTATTAACTTTACATGCTACAACTTAAATCTCAGTTGCCATGACAACGATATTACTGTTTGACATTATTTGTGTCATACAAATTTCAGTGCTAGCATAAATTCATGCATAATATCTGCAATAATATTTACTTCAAATTCTTTTAATAATATTTTGTGTCATGGCTGCAAGATTATATGCGAATAATGAAAAAAGATAAAGAAATACTCAACACTATGAAGTAAAGAAAAATGAGCTACTTTTGTTACATACTAAGAAACGAGAAATATGAATTGATACGGCTGGTCATACAAGGGAAGGTGGAAGGCAAAAGAGGACCAAGAAGAAGACCTGGTTGAAGAATCTAAGACAATGGAGTGGGAAAACGTCAATAGAACTGTTCAGAGCGGCTGCTGATAGAGTTAAATGGGCGATGATAATCGCCAATGTCCTTAGCGATAGGGCACGTTAAGAAGAAGAAGAACAGAATAAACGTTTTTATAGTTTATCATTATGAAGCTTTATACCTAGTGCATACTACAAAGAAGCATAAATGTGATATTTTCTTTTCCCATTTAGGGTACTCCTCACAAATGAGATGTTTTTATGAACGGGCGCCAGCAGCCGGGTGCATTTTCGCCCCCTGTCTATAGCTATACATATAGTTCTATATTTTATATTGGTAAATAATTGAAGAGAACTACGAACACAGTGTTCGTAGTTCTCTGTTAACCCTTCGTTCATTGGGTGTGGTCTGTGTACGACAAAATAAAAATTTTGTATAATTCTCTTATTTTATTTTTTTTAATTTCTACCTTTTCAGTACCTTCATAGAAAGGAAAAAATGTGATTACTGTTTCCACTGTGCACAGAGATGATTGGATTGATGGAGATACTGGTGATCAGAAAAAAACCAGAAATAATTACTGTTTATAATTCCACCAAGAGTGGAGTAGATGTTGTAGACAGAATGATCATATCGAATAATGTTTCCAGAAATAAGAAACGTTGGTCAATGATAGTAGTTTATAATCTCCTTAATCTCGCAGCAATTAATGCATTTGTAATTTACAAAAGCAACAATCCAGAGAATTTTTCAAAACGCGAAGATTATTCCAAAAAAAACCTGGGTATGGAATTGGTACAGGAGAGTATAATACGACGGAGAGCAGTTGACACGCGTTTGACAAAAGCTCTGCATGCTTCGGCCTTGAGACTCTCAGGAATTGAGGTCGTCGTTGTACCAGAGCCCCAGCCAGGTAAGAGAGGAAATTGTAAATATTAGAATAATAGCACATAATAGCATGCTACAAAGATTGCTTAGAAAATTTGACCACCAAAGTTTGACCACTGTAGTTTGTGTCCACAATTTAATTTTTTAGTTTATATATGTTTTTGTAGTACTTTGTTTGTTTCTAATTAAAGTTTTAAATATTTTTTTTTGTTTTTTTCATTATTTAGTAGCTGTTACCAACTTTGAAAAAATATGCGTTGAAATTGTAAACATTTTTAAAATTTACCTAATACAACCAAAAAATTGAAATTGTTTCTGTAATAAACATTATATAGTAAATGATTTGTTTAAAACACGTTGATGCGAAATTAGCAATAAAATGTATATTGTTGCTCGGTAGGCGGTACATATTTCATTTTGGTCCTCACAGACCACACCCGACCGAAAGTGTTTCAGAAAGTCTCATGTCAGTGAGTCAGTGCTCATGTCTTTATGTCTCAATAAACCGTATTAAACTGTATCATAAATATTTGTCATATAGCATAAATAGTTACTATAAATAATATGAAGGGAATTTACATAAAATATTTCTCTAAAAATTTATTTGTGTCTGAAATTAATTAAATATAAATGTATTCTAAAGTATAAGAATTATTATCACGTAACCTAACAATGCTTATGTCCGAAAATGAATTATATTCTTATAGGAAAGACAAATATATTTATCGATATTAAAAAAAACATTCATTACAATTTTTATCATATAAATTAGATGTATTTTACTGAACAATTTTTCATTCCTGTCTAATTTTCTATTATCGTTCGATAAAATAAATGACATTAATTTATTGATAATTTTAACCTTTTATCTGCTCAATAAAAATTAAATTATGTGAATATTCACGCAAATTAAAAAAATATTAAAAGCAAGGATATTTAACATACGGGAAATCACTATCAGTTTTTGTAATAATTATTGATAAAGTTTGTCAGGTTCTCGTTAAAAAGAGACCATTTTAGAAAGGAGCCTTATGAAAAAACTTGTAAACCAAATAAGTTTTTTATTTTTAAAAATAACCTTGAAAAAATTTCCATAACATACAAGTCATAGTAAATTTAAACAATTTATATCATCTAATTTAAAATTTTATTGTTGAACACGTCAAACAGTAGAAATATAATTGTTAAATTCATTATATTAACTGAATATGTGTGGTAATAATCTAGCGAGTAAGCATGGCAACATCGCAAGATAGGCTGACCTTGCATTCACAAATTTATTTGTTGATTATTTACTGAAACTAAAAAAGAAAATAAAGATAAAATACTCACGTTATCTGTAGATTCGACGTTAACTCCAGAAACTTTCAATTCTTCACAAAGATTATAAACTGATGTAAAATGCTCGTTTGGGATATCAATACTTCCACTGTAAATCAACTCTATTAAATTTTTAAGTTGACTGTACGAAATACCATACATAAAAATAGCGTTGTCGTCGGTATGATCAATGAAAACTTGCTTAAAATACCGGCTACTAGCAGCCAAAACTATTTTATGTGCCTTTAAGGACCCATCTTTACAATACAACGTACAATCTGTCAATAAACTGTCTTTATATAAATCAGAAAATATGCTTCCCAACTTTTCGTAGTGTCTATCCGCGTAAAGACGCACGCTTTTTTGCAACTTCATCGTAATATGTAAGGTTAACTAATCACATAAACACTACACAGTTATTTTAAAATTAAAATCACATTAAATATACTTTGTTTTCACAAATGTTTACGCGAAATTTTGTGTATAAGATGCACAACTATAATGCTTGAACGGCACGAACATCACTTACCGCGCCCTTTGGCTTTGGGTTGTATACTAAGGGGGGCTCGGCAGGATATTGATTTTACTTCGTGCTGCCCCCTCTTTCAAAATCGCAAAATACCCTCTGGAATTAATTATAACTCACGGCCTCTGCTGGGTTTCTACACCGTCCCAACTTTTAGTATTTTCTGTCTTTATTCTCGGCGTTGAACTGAGCAGCTGTTTATTTATTTTATATTTATTTAGTTTATCTACTCGTACCGCAAGCGGAATAATTTTATTAAAAATATTTATGATATGCGTTCTGTCATAAAATATTTTAGTAATTTTTATGTTTATAGTAGAATTTATATTTTAATTTAGATATTATAATTAATATATTTTTGACGTATAAAATAGCACGGGTAACATGTCGGTAATTTAACATTTTTGTTAATGTTATTTTAAATATCAAAATAAAAATTATGATATAAAATTGAATTTTTTATATTTAGGTAAAATTAGTAAAAATTTTAAAATAATTTTAATTTAAATATAAAATTAAGGTAGTTACATAGTAATATTTATTCATATAGTTTTTTTTTTAATTTTTAACCCTTAACTACTTAAGTCAAAATTACATAATTACATAAATATTATAAGTGGGTCTATAAGACCCTTTTTTACATAGAGAAAAAAGGAAATTTTTTTGATAATTTTTTTATTTTTAAACTACGATTAAAAAATGAAGTGATATCTTCTTCTTTGTCAACCATTTTCCATCCACTCCTGAATGTAGGTCTCCCCAATTGCTTCCATGTTTCTCTATCTTGCGCCAATGTAATCCACTGTTTGCCTGCCACTGCTCTTATGTCATCTACTCATCTTTTTCGAGGTTTTCCCATGCTTCTTGTTGTCGTCCTTGGTCTCCATTCTAGAATTCTCCGTATCCACCTGTTATCATTATCTCGGGCTACATGAACCTGCCCAGCGCCATTTCATTTTTGTAATTTCTTCCACAATATCCCTAATCTTCGTTCTACGTCTTATCTCGGTGTTTCTAATCTTGTCTCTTAGTGATATTCCAAGCATGATCCGTTCCATTGCTCTGATCTATTTAGCAAATTTTGTGGTAAGGGCTACTTTCTCCAAGCCGTAGGTACAAACTGGTAGTATGCAAGTGTTATGCACCTTTTTCTTTAAGTTTACAGGAATGGAGGTGTTTTTCAAGATATATGCTAGTTTGCCGAAAGTGCCCCATGCCAGTTGAGATCTTTTAATTTCAACATCTTGATTTGGTTTTCCTAGTTTGACAACATGACCTAGATATACATAATGTTCAACATTTTCTATGGTATGATTTTGTATTGTTATATTTGTCTGGTCTCGGTTCAGTATTTTTGTTTTATTGTAGTTCATTTTTAAGCCTACCGCCCCTGAAACTGCATTTAATTGTTGTACCATATCATTTATTTCTTGCATATTATCGGCTATTAAAACTATGTCATCTGCGAATCTCAAGTGGTTTAAGTATGATCCGTCGACGTTGATACCCTTATTATTCCATTCTAGTTTCTTAAAAATATCTTCTAGAGCAAGGGTAAATAGTTTGGGAGAGATGGTTCTCCTTGTCTTACTCCCCGTTTTAGTCTTATGGGATTAGTTTTTGTGCTTTCGTCCAGCTTGTGTGTGCAAGTGGTCTATTGTATTAAAATGTTTTCTGATTGATTTTAGTTAGTAATTTATACAGATGTGATAGCACGGATATTGGTCGGTAATTCTCGATGTTTGATTTGTCTTCTTTCTTGAATAGTAAAATGACTTCGAAGTTGTACCAGTCTTGAGGAATTTTTCCTTCATCAATTACTTTATTAAATAAAATATTGAATACCTGTTTCATTTTTCTGCCACCAATTGTCAACATTTCAACTGTAATCTTATCCCCTCCCGGACATTTATTCGTTTTTAGTTGATTTAGGGCCATTCTTATTTCATAGTCGGTTATGTCTGGTATTTCTTCTGAGTCGGTGTTATTGTTCGTTCAGTACGTCGTTGTTGTGGCTGTGTATTTACCGAGTATAATTTAGTGTAGAATTTTTCAATGGCCTCGCTTATTTCCTTTCTGTCTCGGACGATGACGTTTTTTCATTTTTTATTTCTATGATTTTTGTTGTGTAGCTTGAGTTTTTTGTTTTGAGTGGTTTTGAATGGTTTTTTAAACACAACATTTAAAGTTATTCTTTGCCCTTTTTCTATACTTAAACACAGCATTGTAATCATACAGGCATTTTACACCCTGCACAAACATAGTTCGTTTTTCTGTTTTTTTTGGCTGGACAGAGATGGCATCTCTTTCTTTTTCGATTCTCAGTGACTCCTCGAGGAGTCTTACACTTAAAAAATTAGTGCCAAGAATATCTGATGCAATAGCTCGATTCTGCCAGGACACATTGGAGTTATATAATCTTCTCTTCATGCGTGGAATGTACAAGCTTTGGGCTAATAATTTTAGGAATTTTTCTCTTCTAAAATATAATTTTCTTGTCTATAATACCTACTGTCAGAATTATTAGCGCGAATGGCACCTTTTAAACCAGGCAATACTGTCACAATATTTTGATTTATATTGAGTGCTTTATAGTCGGTTCACAATTTGTCGATAGGTCACTACAAGTTATGTGTCGATAACTCTAATTAGAGAACTGAAATACAGAGAGGATAGGTAATACGATATAATAGTACAAACCAACCTGAAACTGGCGGTTTCAGATGTTTTCGACTAACCCACTGTCACAAATAATGAAAAAGGAATTTAAACATTTTGGTTTGTGTGATAAGTAACGAAACAATCAATACAGATACCTAAGTTACATTTTTTACCATCGTGCGTGTTGAACTTTTGCCAAATCTTGCAGCACAACGTCTTTTGTCGGTTGGAATTTTATCCACTATGTGTTTTATCCTATCACATCTAAATTTATCGGCTACTCTTTGCGCATTAGAAGATGGAGATGTAGTCCTGCCAGCGCCTTTGGGAGGTGGCGAATATTTTTTCAAATAAACTTGTAAACAATGTCCAGTACCATTTTCTGTTTCCAATTTCCAAAAATCCAGGTAACTATTTGATCGAATTTTAAAGTAAAGACAATTTTTTTAAATAAATAATTACTTTCGTTAAAATTTAAAAATAGTAATATTAAATATTGGTAACATTTGTAAGTTTTTTGTAGTATCTCCAACTCCTAGAGTTTGTAAATTGATGACATGTAAGTTTTTGTATTTTACGACTATTGAGGTAATATTTTTGTATTGTCTTTTTTGAGTATTCTTGTATTTTCTATGTTTTGTAACTGTTTGTGTAAGACACAATAAATATTAAATTTTGTTTTCTTAACATTTTGTTTATTTTTTAACTAACCCCTTTTTTGAGTTTGATTTGAAAAATATATGTTTTTATGTTTAATAATTATTTGCCTAGTTACAACTAGTGGTTGTAATAGGTATAATTAGGCACCTCAAAGTGGCGCCCTATATTAAATTACTAGAGGTGTTTCCTGTTTCTTTTTGCTTTGTTTATCCCAAGAAATTGATGACTTTTTGTTTCATTTTTTTGTAGTTGCCCCAATGCACCCCCCTTATCTTTTACTTATCCACGACACCAGCTCTCCTAACAAACCCTGAGTGCCGTTCGCACAAGTAGCGTTTATTTTGCTTACCTTATCTCAGCCTCTATAGTTTCTGCCCACAGTTTTCTACCCCTTGTAATAATACCCCAGGTGATAGGTAAATATTTTCGTTATATCTTTAAGAATTATTTCCAAATTGATGGATGAAGAGGTACATAAGAATTTATTGAACAGCAATCTAATTATCAGGATTTAACTATTCTTAGACTTTTGATTGTAGGATTATTTAAAAAGTAAACTCCATGTAAATAGACCACATAATATTGAAAATCTGAAACAAAATACTATCAATTCTTAAACAATAACCGTCGAAAATTTAAACCACTATGAAAAATTTGTAAAAACACTAACGGTGAAATTCTACATGATAAAAACTCTTCTTAACAGTTCTTAAACAGGAAAAGTTTTTAACAGATGGGTACAACATTTCAGCGAACATCTAAATATAAACGATATTGAAGGAGGTTACAACATAGACAATCAACAAAATCTACAATGTCAACTACACAGTCAAGACCCAACAAGAGAAGTGTCAAATGCTATTCTAAAACTCAAAGACAATAAAGCCCCAGAAATCGATGAAATCTGTTCGGAAATATATAAAAAAGGTGGTGATCAACTTTTTGCAGCAATCCATAAACTAATAGTACTTATATGGCAGAATGAATTGGTACCAGAGGAGTGGCTAAAGGGAATAATATGTCCGTTGCATAAAAAGCGATGAACTGGAGTGTAAGAACTATAGAGGTATTACTCTGTTAGCATCTGCGTATAAAATATTTGGCAATGTATTGTTTAAAAAACTTAAATATTTTATAAAGGATATTGTTGGTCAATATCAATGCGGATTTACTGCTGGAAAGTCAACTACACATCAATTTCAAGCACATAGGCAAATTCTCGAGAAACATAGATACACACCATCTCTTCGTCGACTTGTGGTAAACAAGGAAAAAACCAAATATATGTTGGTTTAAAAAAACTCCCAAATATCGAACAAAAAAGTCCAATTAACAACCATACCTTTAAGCAAGTCAAAGAATTCACATATCTTGGATCGCTAGTAAACGCCACAAACACGACAAGCGACGAAATAAAAAGACGCATAGCAATAACAAACAGAACTGCTCACGTTCACGGTCTCCAGAAACATTTAAAAAATAAAAATATAAACCGTGCAGTAAATCATTAGAAAAATTAGCAAAAAAAAATCATTAGAAAAAAGTGCAGGGAGGCGAAAGAAAACTGGATGTCAACAAAATGCCTAGAAATCGAACAACTTCAAGAAAAATACGAAACCTTTAATATTCACAAAAAAGTAAAAGAAATGACAGGTAGACACAAAAAGAGACAAGCAACAATATTAAAAAATGAAAATAACGAAATAATTATGGGTACAGAAGACAAACTAAATATATGGAAAGTATACATACAAACTCTTTTTGATGACTTTAGACTTTCTTCTCCACCATCCACAGATAATCGAATAAATGAAAAAGGCCCAGAAATAACCAAAGAAGAAGTGATTGACGCAGTAAAATCTCAGAAAGATGGAAAAGCCACCGGTCCAGACAATATCAATGTCTGAATACTAAAACTAATTGCAGATAACAAAAGTAAAAGCCTAGACTTATAACAGCACTATTCAGATATATGACACAGGTAAAATACCAACAGACTGGCTAAAATCAACATCCGTAGTATTAGCAAAAAGATCGAATTACTCACAATGCGATGATTATCGAATATTAAGCTTTATGTCCTTAAAACTTTTCTCAGAATTATACATACACGAATTTACAAGAAGTGTGAGTTTCAGATGAGTGACACTCAATTCGGATTTCGAAACGGATTGGGAACACGAGAGGCTCTGTTTGCTTTAAATGTGTTAATACCATGATGCAGAGACATAAATGTAGATGTATATGCATGTTTTATTGACTATCGAAAAGCATTTGACTGTGTTAACCATAAAAAGATGATCGAAATTCTGAGAACAACTGGAGTTGACCAACAAGACTTGCGAATTATCTCAGAACTATACTGGCACCAAACGGAACAATTGAAATACAACACACAACATCTGTTTAACTTATATTCGGAGTCTATATTCAAATAAGCATTAGATCAGGTTCAAGGCGGAGTTAAGATTAACGGAATCAGCATAAACAACATCAGGCATTATAGTTTATTCGTCTTCCGGGTTTGGACCGTGTCATTTGTGAGTGACCCAAAGGTGGGTTCATCTCGACGTTTTGCTACAATTGTATGTAGCTTCTTCAAGAGAACAAAGAAAAAGAAATCAAAAGACAGGAAGATGGGTAGTTAGCAACGGTAACTCAGTTACTCAACGCAACCAGAGGCGAATACTAACTACCAAGATGGGCATTTGGTCACAGTAACTCAACTACTTAACGCAGCCAGAGGTGAAAACCAAATGCCAGGACAGGGATTCACGTCCAACAGCTCAGTACACTAACGCGTCGAGAGGCGGGGAGTGAATCATAAAAAAAAATATGCTGATGATACTGTCTTAATAGTGTAATAAAATAGAATGGGAGCGTTATGTGAAGGTAAGGAAACGCTGTCACCAAATGAAATACACAATAGATCCTCATGGGATGCTAACCCTGCGAGCGGCTGCAAGGAATACGGGTCACACTGGTCTGGAGGGCTGGCTCGTCTTCGTGGATTTACGAGAAGATAAGGGATTTCGGGATAGGGGTAAGGACTCCTAGGCCTCAGGTCCTGTAAAGGGCAGAGGTTATGGGCTTACTTTTGAAGCCGGAGATATGCATACGCAGAAATCTCGTGTTCTCCTAGTCTCTAGAGAGTCGGACGAAAGGAACATAAAAAAACTAATTTAGAGTCAACAATATATTGACACAACAAGTAACGCACAAAAACTACAAAATGTAATAAATGCGGTAGTTCACCACAGCGAAATGTTCGGCTTACATCTAAACGTTTCCAAAACGAAAACTTTAGTATTTTCAAAGACACCAATAAACGTACATGTGTATGCCAAGGGTCAAATGATAGAACAGGTAAATTCCATAAAATATTTGGGAGCAAATATCAATGGTCAGTGTAATCCAAAAAAAGAAATACTATCAAGAATCGAACAAGCAAGGAAAACATTCATGAGCATGAAAACATTTTTTACAAGATCAGACCTTAGTCTGCAGCTTAGAATCCGAATGATTGCCTCCTATCACTTTTTCGAAAAACTAGTTTTTTCCTAGTTGGCCATAAAATTATAAAATTAGTTTCTACAGATACAATAATTACAAACAGTTCCATCAATAATAGTCAATAATTTGTAGCTATCATTAATTGTGTGAATAAGATTAATATTAAAAATTTTGATATTAAAATGGCCTACACATTTCAGGAATTGGCAGTTAGGATTTTAACTTTGGGTAAGGTGGATCAGATTAAATTAGGATTTTAATAAACTATCGGGAATATCGTAGGTGAATGTCAAGGAAATAGTGCAGCAGCCGCAAGGCGTTATGCAGTCAAATACCCCAATTGAAATACACCCGAAGGATGATCATTTCTAACCATTGATTGTCGTTTACGGGAAACGGGTACATTCCAACCGCAAGTTGCTGGCAATAGTGGTCCTACAATAATGGATGCAACTGATGAAGACATTTTAGAAATTATTGAAGAAGTCCCTGGAACAAGTACAAGGGTAATACCTGCTCAACTAAATGTTCGTTGCGTAAGGGTTTGGAGGCGTTTGAAGAATCAGCTGCTCTAACCCTATCACTTAACAACGGTTCAAGAGTTATTGGTTGAAGATTATCATAAAAGGATTGGGTTTTGCAATTGGTTGTTAATGGAAAACACTCGAAATGTTAATTTTATTAGAAATATTTTGTTTACCGACGAGGCTACCTTCAGTAGAATTGGAATAACAAACCATCATAACGAGCACATTTGGGCCGACGAAAATCTTCACGCCAAAGAAAATGACTCATCACTAAAAGACTTTCAAAGTTAATGTTTGGGCAAGAATTGTGGATAACAATCTAATAAGCCCAGTATTTCTTCCCAACGATTTAAATGGTGATAATTATTTGCAATTCTTAGCAAACGATTTACAAGAGTATTTGGAAGAAGTGATTATTGCAATTAGGCAAAATATGTGGTTTCTACAAGATGGCGCTCCACTGCATAACAGTAATGAAGTCCGGAAATACGAAATACGTTTACGAAAGAGAAAGTATGTATGTAAGGGGTGTATTCTGTAACAATAGAGGACGAACAACAATTGAGAGTTAGAATAATTGAAGCTGCAAATCAATTTCGTTAGAAAAATATGATTTTTCAGCGCATTCGGTTTTCCTTATTAAAATGATACCGAAATGTGTATTGAAGAAAATGGGGATAATTTTGACCATTTATTGTAACATATATAGAGGTTATAGACACTTTTTGTACTTGTTAATTCATTTAAGCCGTTTATTTAGTTGCACGTAATTTTTTAAAGGTTAATGGAAACGACCGTAACTCAATAAAAACTGTTTTTTGAAAAAAGTAAGAGAAAGCACCATTGATCACATATCATCCATCAGACAAATATTAGAAAAAACGACGGAGTACGACATAGACTGCCATTACATCTTCGTAGACTTTAAGGCAGCGTACGATACTATTGACAGGTCACAATTATATTCGGCGATGATCGAATTAGGAATACCAAAAGGTTTGATAAAATTAATTAAAATGACAATGATGAAAGTCGAATGTAAAGTGCGCGTACAAGAGGATGTTTCAAAACCATTTAAATCCAACAGAGGACTGCGCCAGGGAGATGCGCTATCGTGCACGCTGTTCAACCTAGCGTTAGAAAAAATTATGAGAGATTCAGGAATAAATTTAAAAGGTACGATATATACCCGTAGTATACAAATATTGGCATACGCATGGCATACGCTGATGATATCGTCATAATTGGAAGAACCCAAAATGAAGCAGTGGAGGCTTTCACACGTATCAAAAATGACGCAGAAAACATCGGATTTCTGATTAACATCCAGAAAACTAAATATATGCCGGCCATATGAAGAATTCAACAAAACAACTTGGAGGTGCAACACGAAACGATAGAAATGGTAGAAGAATTCTGCTACTTAGGATCACTGGTAGACTACAAAAATAACACATCCAACGAGATAAAAAAAAGATTTGGTTGCTTCTTTTTTATAAAAAATACTTTCAGAATAAGTAACGTGTCCATTTTTATTACAAAATGTCAAGAAGTTTAGGAGACAATGCAGAAAAACAATTTTTATTTTGTAACTTCAAAGGGCTGTAACTTTTTTTGTGCACACTTTTATACTAAGGTAAGTTGGATTCAATCAATTTATTTTTGTTCCCGGAATGCGTGGTTTAATTTATGACAAATCTTTTTGAAACACCCTGTATACAAGACCTTAATAAGACCGGTTTTGATATATGGGGCTGAAACGTGAACCTTAGCTCAAAATGATGAAAGACTTCTTGGTATTTATTAGGGAAAAATTCTTAAAATGATTTTTAGGGCCATATATTAAAATGGGCTATGGCGTCGAAGATATAACTTTGAACTATATCAGTTCTACACCGATAAAGATATTGTAAAATTCGTTGAAGTACAGAGACTTAGATGGGCTGGATACATTACTAGGATGTTAGATTACGAATACACGAAGAGATTAACATTTTCAAAAATCAGAGGGCACGAGAAATATAGGAAGACCACAAAGGAGATAGATTGATGATGTGGAAGAAGACCTACAGATTCTAAGGGTACGAAGATGGAGGGAAGCTGTCAGGAATCGACAGGAGTGGCGACTTCTTTGTGAGCAGGACTAGATACTAGATCCACAACGGATTGTCGAGCCACGTATGATGATAATGATGAAGCAGAGTATGAAGTAATTTTAAATCTCACTCCCGGTATCATTTCTATAATTATTATCAAAATATACTTTTATTGCTTGGAATATATTTTGTAGTTACTAAGTATAATTTCTTTTACTGTAATTATCAAATATTAATTTGCATAAACCAAAAAAGAAGTTTTTTGTAAATATATTAGTTTTTAGTACTAGTTTTATATTTTGTAAATAAAAGCTATCTTTAATTTTAATTTGGTAAAATATTTGTACAGTCGATCCTGCCCCTATCTGTGGTTAGTCCTGCGCATATAAATCCACATTTTACGGTGCGCCTGGTGCATTTTGGATATTCCCATCAAGATACACTCACTTTCCTTAACTTAGCAGGAAAGCTACGTGTTCGATCAACGTATACCGGTAGGTAGTGTCGTCATATGCACTTTTAATTAAAGGAAAACATGAGCGTTGTGGTGAATAGTGATAAAGTGAAATATACTGACAATTTTATCGAAACCAAATACACCTACCAATATAACAAAGCCAGAAAAAATGGAGATGTTGTTGAGGTAAGTAAATATTTGGATAAATTGCATAGTTCGAAAGTGTACTATTATAACGGATAGGAATTAATTGAATTAACAATAATATTCACTTAAATACAGAAAATAAAATATTTATCAAATATGTACCACCAATTACGTAGATAGACGGTTTATGGAATTTTGAAGCAAAGGTATAAAATATAATGATTAGGTTAGATTATAATAATCAGGCATTAGCGAATAAATTGATTTAAAAAAATATATTTAATACTATAAACTTGAAATTTGACCTATATTAATAATTATAACACGCAGGATTTTATTGTGGACGTCAATTTTGGAACCCCAAAAAACATGTAAAAAAGTTTGCCACTTCTACCCCCGTGCTTCTCTCTAAAATCCCTCTTCGTCTGCGTAGAAATGCAGCTGAGATAATTTTGAACAAAAAAGTTTTTGTTCAAAATAAAAAGTGTTTTGAACAAAAAAATGTAATAATTCATCTGCTGATAAACCAGTCCATTAACGAAGGTTTCGGAGCCATAAGTATTTCTCTCTTCCAATTCCTCTTCTTCCGTCGATCCCGTTGAGTATCAACTGCATTATCCTGTATCTGCTTCCTCTCATTATATGCCCCAGATATTTGAGTTTTAACAAAATCCACAAGGAAAACAATTCTTGTAGCTGGCTGTATACCACGTATAACAAAAAAGAGGTTAGTCTTCGTAAATGGGTATATTTATTTAAAAACTCTTAAAAGGGCTGCATCAAAAAAACAAACGTTTTCGGACTAAACAGTCCATCATCAGGTTTAAAATTGCCTAAAATAAGTATAAACCATTTAGTTAAAGCAAACGTGGTTTTTTAAAATTTTGACTAGGGTTAAAAAGCAAAAATGGTTATACTTGCTAGGTTAAAATGCATGAGCCACCAAAATACCAGGATAAAAACCTGGCTTTTCTCTGAGTGTAGGTAATTTCTTTAAGTTTTTTGTGTATATTAAACTTGTCATGTTTTCTTTACTTGTCACCTTTATTTTTACAATTTCTTCTTTGCTGAATAAGGTCTAGTATGTTATCGGTCATTCGGTCAAGTCAATTCGGTCATTTAGTGACTGACCGAATGTAAGTTACTTACGCGTAATCAAATTTGTATTAACTCGACGGTAAAAATTCGATATCTTTCTTTTCTCTGCCATATTTACATATAATGAACACAGGTCTTATCAGCGTTTCAGCCATGTGTCCGTGGCTGGTACATATTTACCGTGTATTTAAATAGGAATATCATTGAGTCTGGCGTAGAACTATGACATTTAAAAATATCCTGGGATTTTTAAAGGTATAGGGGATAATAAAATGAAAATTAAATATACATCAACTTTTTTTTTATTTTTATGATAGTCTTCATCATTATCAACTAGCCTCTAACGTCCACTGCTTAACATAGGCCTCTCGCATGCTTTTCCACTTGGTCCGATTTTGCGCCATCTGAATCCAATTTGTATTCACTCTTTTTATGGCATCCTGTATTCGGGGTCTCCATTGCAAATGTATTTTTAAACTTTGAGGGTATACAAGGCAACTATCGAACACGGTGATTAATTTAATCTTGCCCAAGTACTTTCGATCAATAGATCATCTTCAGGGGCATTTCGTCAATTGTGGACTATCCGACATACTAGAATGTCATAAATGTAAAAACTGGACATAACAATACAAAATACACTACACTAAGACAAACAAACACTTTAAAATTTATATGGCGAAGCTACATATTGTGAAGAAGCCGGAGACAGAATGTTTGTGTTTGTCTTAGTGTAGTGTATTTTGTATTGCTATGTCCAGTTTTTACATTTATGACATTCTAGTATGTCGGATAGTCCACAATTGACGAAATGCCCCTGAAGATGATCTATTGATCGAAAGTACTTGGGCAAGATTAAATTAATCACCGTGTTCGATAGTTGCCTTGTATACCCTCAAAGTTTAATTATTCGAACATTCAACCTTATATTGAAATGTATTTTTGTCCACCGGTCATCAACTGATCTTGCTACATGACCTGCCCAGTTCCACTTTAGTGTTGTTATCCTTTCAATAACGTCTGCTACTCCTGATATTTTGCATATAGTAGCATTGGGTATTCTATCATGTAGAGAAATCCCCAACATTATTCTCTCCATTGCCCTTTCCGCAACTTACAGTTTACTCACTGTTGTTCTTGTGAGTGTTAGGGTTTCTGCGCCGTACGTCATCACTGGCAAAATACACTGATTAAATACTTTTCTTTTCAGACACATTGAAATCTTAGACCTAAAAATATCCTTCATCTTTCCAAATGCAGCCCAAGCGAGGTTTATTCTTCTTTTCAGCTCGATTGTTTGGTTGTCTCGACTTATTCTGATCTCATGGCCCAAGTATTTATAGTAGTCAACTGGCTCAATATCTTTGTCTTCTACTGAGATGTTTTTGTTGTGGACTAAATTTGCCATAAATTGTGTTTTGAAAAATTTATTTTAAGACCAACTCTTTTTATGGCAGTATGGAGTTCTTGGAGAAAACTGTCTGCAATAAAAACGATATCATCTGCAAATTTAAGATTATTTAAAAATTTTCCATCTACATTGATGCCCTTTTCGTTCCAATCTATTGTTTTACAAGCGTATTCTAGCAAAGTTGTAAATAATTTAGGAGACATGTCTCTTTGCCGAACGCCTCTTTCAATACGAAAGATCCTAGTATCTTCTATTCATTCATTCATTTTATGATAGTACAGCATATTATATAATCAAAAGTAACATAGAATGTAGTATTTTTTAACTAGAAAATGAAGTACACGTTTTAGTTATTTTTTTATAAAAACATGGTTGGCAAAGAAACATTCCGAACATATAAAAGGGCTGTCTTCACATCCAATGTATACACATGTTACTCATCTTGTATTTGTTACAGTATAAATTCGACCATGTAGATAAGAGTTTTTTTTGTAACAATTCGTGCATCTGATGAGTCGCAAAAAGCTGCAAAGCAGAATTTGAAAATAGGCTGTATTATTGGTTACAAAACAACGGAACCCACTTTGAACATTTACTTAATTTCATTTACATTTTTAACAAATTTGTATTTCAACAAATACCTCATTAAATTTTCCATTTAAGCCAAGGTTTCACAATTATTTCTTCACCCTTTATGATTATTATTTATACCATTGGATAGCATTTTTTATAGTCTTTTCAATGACTACTACTACTATCTACTTTATGTATCTTGGATCACTTTATCCTTCGGTATATTATAAATATATACGTCTACAATGATTCGGCATTCACAAGTGAATACTGCTGTCTAAATCGACAAAATAAATTAACAAAGAGGAACAGAATTTCTATGCAATTCAGTTGTCAAGATAAATCGACGATGTTTCCCGTTATTGATTTTCTGATGATGCGATGTGCGAATGGAAATTTCCACTGGGAAATTCTGGAAAGTTCACTTTGCAATATGACGCTGAGAATTTGCGTTGTTAAAATAATTAGAAATTGCATATTTGTTTTTATTACATATTTCAAAATATGGCCATAAACTAAAAATAGGTACCCACTAGCTCGGGGAAATAAGATTTCTCTCGGGATTGTGATAAATGTATTATAGGTATTTGAATTTTTTTTATTTATTATAGGCTCAGTAGTGGAAAAAGGCTAAGGCAACATTGTAATATCAAAACCAAAATTTTGTATAACCAAACACTTATTTTAAATTTATATTTTCTCTTTTTGTTTTATCTTCACTTTCTTGGAATTGCTTGGTTTTTCAAGCTGGAGTTTTGAATGTTTCTGGAGTTTGAGCAGGTGAAATTTGTAAAAATGATGACGATTGTTGTAATTGTTCTCTAACTCTTGTTAAAAATTTGTCCAACGATATTTTCATTTATTTTGCCACTTTATTTCGATCTGCTTTTCGTTTTTTTCACTTTAACTTAATTGTTTAAAGGAACTTATAAAGACTATGTACTAAAAAGAAAGAAGAAAATTATCTGTAATTTAATTTATTTCTACTTAATATCACAATCACAAATGAAATCACAATTTGTGATACTACAGTTGACTCCCTCTATAACGAGAACTGAAATGGCAGACTAATTACCTCGGTATAAGCCGATCTCGTTATATCTAACAACAATAATACTGTGCATACATATGAATATGCAATTTTCTACAACATTAACTTTCTATAGTGAAGCCATTTGGAGCAATATAAGATACTAAATATTGTTTGAATGGCATTTTTGAAAAAAAAGTTGTTTAACAATAAAACACTGAAAATTTTGTTTTCAAACTTCCACAAAATTTATTTTAACTATTATCACTACAGCTGTTTCGGCTGATTGCCTTTCTCAAGTGATCTATTGTTGGCATGCGTTTACAATTTATAGTCTCTAATGAAATAGGTTGGGGAGGGGAGAACTGTTTGTCTCAAGTTGGTCATTCAGAATTATATCTGTGTTTTTTAATTTGTTGATTTCCATAGATTCTAACAAGGAAAGCTTAAGGCCTTTATTTTGAATGTGAAGAATTTTAAATTCGTCATTAAAAGAATGATTATGATCTAGAAGGTGAAGTGCGTATGTAGAATCTGTTTTTCTATTATTGAAAGCTCTTTTATGTTCTGCTATTCGTTTATTAAAGTTTCTACCAGTTTGACCGATGTAAGTTTTTGGGCAGTCGCCACATTTAAGTTTGTATACACCACTGTGTAAGTGTCTTATACTTTGGCTCTTGAAAGCTGGTGTTATTCCTTTCTTTTTTATGTGTTTGGCTATTTTAGTTGATATTTTGCCTGTATATGTAATCGAGCATAAGGCTCGATTACGCAGAAGGCTTGCTATACAGACAAAATAACAACAAAAATTGCCAAACACATAAAAAAGAAAGGAATAACACCAGCTTTCCGAACAAATAACAATCTAGGCAAATATATTAAAAATAAGAGCCAAAATAAAAAACACTTAAATAGTGGTGTGTACAAACTTCAATGTGATGACTGCCCAAAAACTTACATCGGTCAAACTGGTAGAAACTTTAATAAACGAATAGCAGAACATAAAAGGGCTTTCAATAATAGAAAAACAGATTCGACATACGCACTTCACCTTCTAGATCATAATCATGCTTTTAATGACAAATTTAAAATTCTTCACATTCAAAATAAATTCCTTAAGCTATCTTTGTTAGAATCTATGGAAATCAACAAATTAAAAAACACAGATATAATTCTGAATGACCAAGTTGAGACAAACAGTTCTGCCCTCCTCAACCTATTTCATTAGAGACTATAAATTGTAAACGCATGCCAAAAATAGATCACTTGAGAAAGGCAATCAGCCGAAACAGCTGTAGTGATAAGATTTAAAATAAATTTTGTGGAATTTTGAAAACAAAGTTTTCAGTGTTTTATTGTTACATGAAATGAATTTCCATCAAGTAACGGTCGAATCCATCAATTATTTAAAAAGTTGTTTACTTATATTGTCAATGATATAGGTTAAAACAAAAAATCTGTATTCTGTAAATCTGTATAAAGCATATTTTAATTATAACATAAACTATTGAAGAAGTCTGTCATTTTTGACTGCTTTAAATTGTCCAGTATTCTATCTATCATATTTTCTAAAGATGTAAAACAGTTGTAGCTTCTTCATTTGTGTTTTGTCTTTGGATAAAGTTTCTTACAACGTTTAAAGCACTTTCCATATTTTGTCTATTAGGACCTTCTTATTATTAGATGTTAATGGTCAACCCCCTACAACGACAATGACTTGAATCATAAATTGTAAATTTCCGAAGAAGTTTATTGCGGGCGGCAGTTAAAAAGGGTATTTATTTATAGCCATGGTCGGGCCAAAAACGTAAAAAAACACGTTTTTCGATCTTTCGATCTGCCTCGCTATAGACTATAGAGGGTTATAGTTCAATAGAAATTTCACGGGACATCTAATGTACCTCGTTATAAACGAAACTTCGTAATAACCGTGTTCGCTATAGAGGTAGTGTACTGTAATTTTCTGGCCTCAAAAATTATGGGCCCCAGGGACGTGCCTATGTTGTCTAGGCCTTAGTCCGCCCCTGTATAGGCCTATATAAAGAAAACCTATACGTTTTATGCACGGATTACGGCGGTTTTTTTTATTAATATTACCAATTTAATGTTAAAAAATCTCATTTTCCGATTTTTTGCTTAAAAAGCTTAAAATTTGAGGTGAAATTACAAAACTGTATCTTTTAAAGCATAAAAAAAGCTTTAATGGCCATTGCTTAAAGGTATAAAATTAATTTGTTGCTTTGTAAACTGCAAAATAAAACAAAATCGTTACTTGGTTATAACTATTGGAAAAATCAGCCTAGATATTTTGATTATTGCTCTCAAAGCTGAGTATTGTAGTCTTTACTAAATCCTTTAAATTTTAGATCGATCCATCAATTAATTCTCTTGCTTGCAATAACATTAGTTAGAAAAAAATAAAAAAGTGAAAAAATAAAGTGAAAAAATTTTACAACGCAAAACTCTTATGCAAAATTACGCTTACTTCTAATTTATAAACATTTAAGATATCTTCTAAACTTTAAACTATTTCTCCTAGATAAAATCTTTTTTCAACTTCAAAAAGCTAATAATTTTTACACAAATTTTAAAAAAATAGAAAGTTATTCTGGGACGATTTGATTACAAGTCTTTTTCCAGCTAATTTGTTTATAATAACTAAAAAATGTTTTTATTTTTAAGGTTACACCAATATCAGAAAATTTAGTTCTAAAGACATCTAAAAAAGTTCCTAAACTAGGTGTTATGCTGGTTGGATGGGGTGGCAATAATGGGTCTACGTTTACTGCCGCTGTAATAGCAAATAAGTTAGGTTTAACATGGCCAACAAAAAAGGGAGTCCAGCAAGCAAACTGGTATGGTATGTATTAACCACTAAAATGTTTAATTTTTAAGTTAAGTACCGATCAAAGTTTATGATTTGATTTGATTTGATATTTGGTCAAAAGAAGCCGAACTTTCTTTTCCGGAAATTGCAGATATGGTTCCCAGAAATCATAACACCGTATTAAGATGTTATCTGGCATGGCGTCAAGAAGGCCCATCATGAAAATCGGTGGGCGAATCCAAGCTTGCTGGACGCTATTGGACGATGTTAAGAATACCCTTTTCATTCCGACAATACATCTACAGTTTGCTCTTGCAAAACGCAAATCTTTTGCGAGGACTAAAGACCACTGCGCCGAGCTTTCGACATCTTCTCTGATGCCTTCTTCAGGGCTACCGAGGTCCCGGTCTCCCGAGCCGACACTACTACACTGGTCACTAATTAATGCATTACTGCACTGTACCGATTCAACTCGGAAGCCTGTCAAGTTTAATATTAACTGTTGTTATAGTATTGTGAGAAAAGAATATATCCCTTATTTTAGCGAAACGCTAGAATTAACTATAATCTTTTATTATATTACCAATTATTATTATTTTTCTTGTTAGTTCCAAAGTATCGAAGGTTGGAAGCCATAAGACATATGCTGATCCTATTAATCGCTTCTCCAAATGGCAGTAATTCGACTTCATCGCAAAATCAAATCATTTTAAGACGTTTATTTTTCAGATAATTTTTTTTGTTCCTATTCAAGCGTAAAATGTATATAATGCTTATTTTTTTAGGGTCTCTTACACAAGCCGCCACAGTAGCGTTAGGTGACGATGTATTCGTACCTTTTTCAAAATTGTTACCCATGGTACATCCAGATGACATCGTAATAGGCGGCTGGGATATCAGCTCGGCTAACTTAGCTGAATCAATGGAACGAGCTCAAGTTTTAGAGCCAATGCTTCAGCAGCAATTAAAACCACATATGCAGACATTAAAACCAAAACCTTCTGTCTATATACCGGAATTTATAGCTGCCAATCAGGTAAATATTGTGATTTAAGGATTTTTATTTTAGTAAAAAATATTCTCAATTCTTAATAACAGACTGTTTGATTACAACGTAACCTAACCAAGATAACGCCAGAAAAGGAAGATTAAATTATGATTAAATAATTGCTGTGTTTCAGTATTTTAATAAATGCCCTCGAATCTTCTTTACAGTTACTTGTTTTTCAGGAATTGCATTCAAAACGGCACTAGCACTTTCTAAAAAATCAGTGTTGTTATCGTAGGCAACATTTTTAACCATATTGTGCCACATCACTATTCAAATAGCTTTAATTACAGCAAACAACACTCTACCCTCTATTAAGGAAGTGATTCCCAACTTAACCGCTTCTGGGGTGCTTCGACAAATATTCTGTCGATTGTAAAAAAGACGATCAAACATCATGCATTTAAAGCGTTCTACAATATATGTTACCGCACTTATACTGTATATTAATAGTACATTGTTTCTTCTTCTTCTTAACATGCCATACACCAAAGTGCGTAGGCGACTATCTCATTACTAGAATTCTGTTCTTGGCGGCGTGACACAGCTCACCTGTATTGTGTATTCCTGTCCATTCTTTAATATTCCTTAACCAGGACAATTGTTTGCGGCCGGCTCCTCTCCTACCTTCGATCTTCCCTTGTAGGATTAACTGTGGTATTTCATATTTTGTTCCTCTCAATATGTGCCCAAGGTAACCAATCTTGCGTTTTTTAATTAATTCAAAAAGTTCTCTTTCCACGCCGGCTCTATTAAGGACGTCATCGTTTCGAACTCTATCCACCCAAGGTATGCGCATCATTCTTCTCAATGACCACATTTCAAATGCTTCGAGTTTGTTGATAGATGTACATTGTTTACCGGGTAGGAAAAGCTTAACATTCCTGGACGACTGTGAAGATTGCTAAGTCGAGGCGCAAGCCTCGACTTAGCAACACAGAGTCCAGGAATGTGGCCTTTCCTACGAGATAAACATACTATTTTTCCGCAAATCGTTTAAAATTCGACAGATATTGATTGATTTAAAAAAAACGCGATAATTTTATTCCCAAATAAATGGTGCTTTGAAATTCCTAATAAAATTACTTGGGTTACTATGGAAACGTATTGAGGTTGAATTGTCAAATTTGACGCTTATAAATTTAATTGCTGGTGTTCTCAAAAGTAAAATGATAAAAATTGATCTTAAAAATGTATTCAGCAATGACTTGATGTTTTCAAAATATAAATTAATTTCTTATAAGCAATGTGTTTTCTATCATTTATGTAGAACACTAACAACTGTACGGAAATATCATTTCCTTACAGTAAGGAAATGACATTTCCTTACAGTAAGGAAGTCCTGACTTTTTCTTCAAGAAATTTTGACAGGAATGTCAAAATTTCCTGGCGATTTGCGGAGAATGTTTATATTGTCATCTTTCACCACTCACATGATACTATGACTAACAAGATAGGATCTTTCCGTAGCACAAAATAGGTCGTGTTCGCGCATGCCGTCATTGGAGAGTAGAATTTGAATCTTGTTAAAGTTAAATGGGATTTATATGCATTCTGTGATGAAATTACTAGACGAAAATAAGTTAAGAGGTTTAATAATTACAATAATCGTACACATAAGGATATCTCCAAACTATTTATTAAAAATGATTTATTGATACCTACAAAAACTGACATTTCAAACGTGCAACTCTCCAATGACGTCACGACTTATGCGCAATATCTTATCTTCTTAGTCATCGTATCATGACATCGAGTTAGAATCTACATCATCTTGTCTTATAATCTGTGATCATGACCACTCATTCTTATGTCTAAAATATAAGACGTCATATTTTAAAGCTCTAACGGATGGTACAAACTGGACTCAAGTAGACGTCGTATTTTGGTCAAACGATGTCAAAATGAAAGATGAACCTAAAAAAGACGTCCATTTAAGGTCAGATTCATAATTGTAGTTATGGTAAAAGTGCTTTGTTAAAAGAATGAAATGAATTTTGAAGTTTTAGATCGCATTTTGGGTATTTTCTTTATCTCTTTGTAGTTTTGCCCTGTTTCGTCTTGCCAAAGAATTCCTACATTCTTCATCGAACCACTCTTGCCGTCTTTTTATATGCTTTCCGCTGCTTCCGACATGGCTGTCTGTATGGTCTGCGACTCTTCTTCTATATCCTGTTTGACTGGATTCTCTAGTTTTTTATTTATTTATTCCTCTAGTCTATTTACAACCTGCTCTTGAAAATGCTCTAATTGGTAATTTAATCTATCTCTAACAGGTTTTGGTATTATTGGAATACATTATACGTTTTTTATTTTCCAGAAATCTCGAGCGGATCATGTAATTAAAGGCACAAGACAGGAGCAGTTAGAACATATATGCCAAGATATAGCCGAGTTTAAGGACGTCAATAATCTTGACAAAATAATCATTTTATGGACAGCGAACACGGAATGCTTTAGCGACGTCTTAGATGGCGTTAATGATACAGCTGAAAACATTAAAATTGCTATCGCCAACAATGACAGCAATATATCACCATCTACACTATTTGCATATGCGGCTATAACTAAGGGATGTACTTATATAAATGGATCTCCACAAAATACATTCGTTCCAGGAATTATCGACTTTGCTGAAAAACGTGGCGTATTTATCGCCGGAGATGATTTTAAATCTGGTCAAACCAAGATAAAGAGCGTTTTGGTCGACTTCTTAGTGGGTGCGGGTATTAAACCAGTCAGTATTGTTAGCTACAATCATCTTGGAAATAACGATGGAAAGAATTTATCTGCACCTCCACAGTTCAGATCTAAAGAGGTAAATTATAATTTGGTTTCTATTTTGAAAGTTATATACATATTTGGAAAAGTACGGCGGGGGAAGTGCGCCCCCTTTTATTCATATTTGGTTTTAATTGTATCAATGCTTCAATTGGGTTATTTCTGGGATTTCTTTATTTAGGGAAGATTCCACACCAGTGGCTTTTCACGGCATTAATTATAATTTTTTTTCTCTTACATATCGCAGTAGTGCACTTGCCCCGTCAGATTTGGGCAAGTGCGTCTCCCGGGCATAGTTTTATATAGTTTCCTTGCGTTGAATTACTGGATAAGTGCACTTATCTACTAGGCTTTTCTGAACACAGTTCTAATTTTTTTTTTAATTTTCATAATTTTGAAAACAAAATAATACTTCTTCTTCTTCACGTGCCATCTCCGCTACGAAGGTTGGCTATCATCATGGCAATTTTGACCCTGGAGGCTGCCGCTCGGAACAATTGTATAGAAGTGCAAGCAAACCACTCCCTGAGGTTTCTCAACCATGACATTCTTCTCCTACCTATGCTGCGCCTACCTTCAATCTTTCCTTGCATAATTAGTTGTAACAGTTGATATTTATTCCCACGTGTAATATGTCCCAGGTATTGTAGTTTCCTCATTTTAACACTCAATACGACCTCCTTTTGTTTGTTCATCCTGTCTAATACAACTTGGTTAGTTATCTTATCCTTCCAGGAGATTTTTAACATTCTTCGGTACGCCCACATCTCAAATGCCTCCAGCTTACCCATACATTGCTTATTTAGTGTCCACGCCTCCACCCCATATAACAGGACCGAGAAAACATAACATTTAAGCATTCGTATTTTCAGCTTTAGGCTTAGGTTTCGGCTACACAACATTTGTTTCATATTGTTAAAGGCACTGCGGGCTTTCTTTATTCTTATTCTTATTTCTCGGGTGTATTCGTTTGACTCGTTAATATTTGTTCCGAGGTAATTGTAATTTTGTACTCGTTCAATGAGATTCTGTCCTACATGTAAGTTGATATTATTGATACGTTTCTTTGTAATTATCATGAATTTGGTCTTCTTTGTATTCAGTGACAGACCAAATTCTTCACTTGCAAGTGAAAAATAATACTGGTAATACGTAATTAATTAAATTAAACAAAGAAACAAACTAAACTACCTATTTTATTAAATAAAAACATAGAATATAAAAATAAATTGAGCCAAAAAACAACAATTATTTAGAAAACATTAGCATCAAATCTATGGTTAAATTTTATAATGTCTGTAATCCTGGTAATTTTATGGGTGGATCGTGTGACTAATGTTGAGGTCCTACATAAAATAGGCAAGGAATGCGAGATTATTAACACCATCAAAGAGCACAAACTAGAATATCTTGGCCACGTTATGAGGAATGAACAGAGATACGGCTTGTTGCAACTCATTCTTCAAGGCAAGGTATTTGGAAAGAGAGGACCGGGGGAAGAAGAATATCTTGGCTTCAGAACCTGGGAAAGTGGTTTAATACATCGACAACCGGACTATTCAGAATAGCAGCAAGCAAAGTTAGGATAGCCATGTTGATCGCCAACATCCGGAACGGATAGGCACCGTAAGAAGAAGAAGAAGTAATCCTGGCCGCTCTGCTGACGGACGGCTGCGGCAGCTTTTGTACGTCTGTCCGGTCCACTTCGCTGACGTCCTCTACTATTGATAAAGTGAAACAGCTTCCTTCTAGTCCCTTCTGCCTTACTAATTGGACTTCCAATGTATTTTATTTCAGGCACAAAACTTTTCAAACATAAAACTTCATTGTTTTTTAGTACAAAACTTGATTAAAACGTAGTCGTCTGGCTCAAGATCCGTTTCATCAAAAAGCTCATCATCTAAAAGTAAATCAGAGCTTCCGCTGCCATCTAGAAGGCTGGGAAGCTTGGATCCTTCTCTTCATCAGTCGAATCGAAAAGTTCAGTGTTGGTAGCGTTTATGATCTTTTCTTATTGATTGCGGCTTTCTTAAGCAAGTTCTTTAATTTCCGCTTTTTCAGGGGTATCAGTTAGGATGCAAGAGCGCCCGCGTTTTCTACCTCAAGAAGATTGGGCACGAGGTGCTGCCTTGGGATAGTACATGATGTTTTGTAGAGAAAAATGTTTCACAGGCATTACATCCGATGTTGAAGTGCAAGGTTTTAGGGCCATAGACAACGTTGGTTCTATAGAAATTTATGTACTAGAACTAGGCGTTGACTGTATTGGATCCAGAACTGATTCCTTAATCAAAGTTGAGTCTGGACGGTCCGTGACAGCGCTAGTCATAAATTCGTCGTCAGTAAATATGTTTGGATTTATCGGCCATATTCCAGATACTTTGAATCCACTTATTACATTTGAAGGAGCCATGGCTTGTAGAACGCATCTCCAAGCAGTTCTGCAATGTAGTAAATGGTAATAGTTCTTCCGGGAAATTTGAGCATAACATTGGAAGCTGTTTGGGAGTAGCAAGTCTTTAGTGGACCAAAAACCGCGCGCAACTTATGAGAGGTGTGCGGCGGAATTGTAAGAAATACAATACGTTGTCTCTCGCATAATTTACAGCCTCCAATGAGCAGTGGCTCTCATGGTTGTTCATAACAATTAAATGTTTCCCATCTATGCTTGGCTGATCGAAACGAACAAAGTGAAAAAACTTTTGTTACATTGTTAATTTGTTAATTGACTAAAGAACGTACCAACTGTGTGACGATTAAAAGCTGAGCTTCGTGCCAAGCTTGTGGCTTCTGGTATCTTAATGACAGCGTAGGGTTTCTATCAAGAAAACCTCGGTACTAGTCACGGCCACCTTGCTTTGTTTTATCCCAGGCAGGGGGATATGATATCCTATTTGTTGCAGCATAGGAGTATGCCAATTTGCGCAATTGCACCACAGTAAGACCGTAATACATCTTGGACATATCTTACGAAAACATACCAAGTTCTTTTTCGTGGTCAAGTGTCACCTTGTAGCCTAGGAGAGATATCATGTTGTTTCTGCACAACCTCTTCAATGTCATGGCATTTATTCCGAACTGCCTAGCGAATGCTTTGTAGCTACCTCCATTTTTTACCGCATTTACAGCCGCTTTAACATTTTCTGCATCAGGTGGAACTCTTTTCGTTGCTCCTATTTTAGTTGAGTACTTACGTGGCATCTGAAAAAATAAACATGAATAAAATTAATTACATTAAACACGAGATTAAAAGAAACACAAAGTGGGATATTTGATCTTGGTAAAAGTACAAATGTTTCACCTATTTGGGCAGTATAATTAACGAATTAAAGTTGTTATAACTTACAATGTCACAAAATAGAATAATCTTGATTAAAATGTCAAGCGTTTTCTGAAGTAGCAAAACAAAGTAAACATTACGGCCTCTACCCAAGTGGGTCAACAGAACACTAATAGGATTAGGCACCAAATTGGGCGCCAAATTTAAATGGGGATCAAGTATCCCACCAGGATCAACTATAACACCTCTGCTTTGCATATTCCGAGATTGAAGTGCTGACGCCTATAGTTTCAGCGTGGTTGCTGTATAGTTGTAGGTATTCTTCCCTGTGAAATATTTACTTCGATTTTTTTAAAATTCTATCTTGCGTTGTATTCTTTTTCATGATCGTCTTTTCGAAATACTTTCTCCCAAATTATACCAGAATAGCTTAAAAGTTGGTATACAAATAATTTCTGATTACATTTACTCATTAAGCAATTTTTTTTTCAGATTTCTAAAAGCAACGTTGTTGACGATATGGTGAACTCCAATGACATTCTTTATAAACCAGGGGAAAAGCCGGATCATGTAGTAGTCATCAAATATGTTCCATATGTGGGTAAGTAATAATAATTCATAATCACTGTTAAACCTTTTTTATCACACGTTCTTACTATAGGAAATATCTCATAGTGTGTGTGTGTGTGTATTGTGTGTGTTTGTATATATAGACGCGCGGCCGTGAAGAGGAGTTTTGGCTTGGTCAGACTTTATCCATTAGCCACATATTGTAATAATAATGATCACATAGAGTAAATAATTAGAACATCCAAAAGGTCTCCAACTTCAGATATCTCGATAGTTGGATAACTGAAGATCTAGATCCAGACATAGAGATACGTAGCAGGATTGAGCAGGCCAGAACAGCATTTACTAATATGAAAACTTTGCTAAGCAACAGCAGCCTTAACTTAATGCTTCGATAACAAGACAAATGTCGAAGTATTAAATCGAATGGGCAGAGAACAAGAATTGCTCCCAATAATAAAAAGAAGAGAAACTGCTTATCTGGGTCATATATTTCGAAATTCCAAGTACCAGTCTTAAAGCTTATTATGGAAGGGAAGGTAGAAGGAAAACGGGGCATCGGAAGAAAGAAATACTTATAGTTTAAAAACATAAGGACACATAAGCGAAGGACAAACCTCGATGCACATGCACTCTTTAGAGCTACATAAGTCGAGAGGAGTAAGGCAGAATTGTCGCCAACATCCACTAATTAGGCACTAATTAGGATAGGGCACCATAGTAGGCTAATCCAAGTTAACAATATAATTAAGGGAAAAGTAACCTGAAGTTATATTTTGCACTTTTGAATAAGTGAGTATGTTGTTTAACGACATTGTAATCTAAAAAAAAATACATTTCAAATGTTTATTTTTGTTTTTGTAATTACCTGATCTAAATTCACAGCACAATTATGTACAGGACAGTAATATAGTCTTAGAACATCACATCAATCTGAACCATTCTCTGGAATATTACTAACTAAAAAACCTTAGACTTTAAACAAGCCAAGCTATTAAGCTATTTCTGTACTTTTAGATTTGAAGAAGAAAGAATCTCTTTAACCTCTTTCTTAACTAATCGCATATGAGATCCTCGTAAATTCCATAGTACCTACCAATTATAAATATTATTACTTTTCTATCAACTACATACTGTATTATTATAAATAGAATAAATAACGTGCTCTATTGGGTTCAGATCTGGCTAACACGCTGGCCAGTTCATTATATTAATACCAACTTCCTCTAAATATTGCGTGACACACATTTCAGAGTGGGGTCGTGCATTATCTTGCATTAATAAAAAATCATCGCCGATATATTGAGATAACGGTACTAAGTGATTCGCTAAAATTTCCTCAATATGACATAATGATAACAGTCACCAAAGCCACCTCGTCGTAATCGTCGCAAAATAACTCCAAAATAATCATAATTAAAAAGTCCTAACTTGTGGGTGGTAAATTAATTTATATTTAAAAAATGAACCATCAATGCATATTTTGACATGAAACAAAAAACATAATACATACTTAGAAGATATGGTTACAACCGAAAAACTAGGTTATACGAAAATTCGCTAACGGAATTGTTCCACAGGATGTCTCAAAGTTAGGAAAAAAAACCACCTTTTGATTAACCCCGTATAATAAGTCAAATATAAAATTTTACCAAATTAAAATTTATTAATTTATACACAGTGTGCTAGAAAAATCATCAAAATAGGGCTAAAAATAAAAAAATTGAAATACTTTGAATTTGACCAAAATTTCCTCAGTTGCGTTTTTTGCATCTGAGTGTATATATTATTGTTCTCTATTCTCTTAAATATTATTGATGTTGTGAATTGTTTTTTTTTTAATTTCAGGAGATTCTAAGAGAGCCTTAGATGAATACACCTCAGAAATACTGATGGGAGGTTTAAACACATTAGTAATTCATAATACCTGTGAAGACTCTTTGCTTGCCACTCCCATAATGTTGGACTTAATCATATTGGGAGAACTATTTACTAGAATCAAGATAAAGAGAGAAACTTCCTCAGACGATGAATACACTTCATTCCACCCAGTATTGTCAGTTCTGAGTTATCTTTGCAAAGCGCCCTTAGTTCCAAAGGGCACACCGGTAGTTAATGCTTTAAACAAGCAGAGGGCATGTATTGAAAACGTTATAAAGGCTTGCATAGGTAAAAAATTAGTTTATATTAAATTCAAATAACATTTTTATTTGTTTAGAAGTAAAAAAGTCGTAAACATTCATACTCCAATAAAAGATACAAAAATAAACTTATTATTTATTATTTTGTAGAAAGCATTCAAATAGAGCATCAGCGTAAATCAATCATTATTAAAAAATACATTACATACAAAATACATTATACTAATAAGTCCTCGTAGACACTTTGTCTCAGGACCAGCAACCTCCAGCACAGTCTTACGTTGCCATGTATACCTGTTGACATTGAAAATCCATTCTTTCCCTAAGTAAATATAATTGAAGGAACTCACCGATAATTAAAGGAAAAAATAACAACATACCCCCGTTACAAATTCAAATTAATAATATTTAACGGGTTTTTACCCAAATATTTTAGGGCCAAAACGTGTTCAACGTTTTGTGATGTAGCCCAATTGGGTGTTTTAATTATATACCTTTTATAAAGGATTTTTAAATAATTTTTTGTAATACAGGGTATACAGCCAGCTACAGGAACTTAGTTTCCTTGTGGATATTTTAATACGTTAAAAAAGTATAATATAATAGTAAAACAGAATAATACTGTTATACATATTTTGTATATACATATACCTACCTTAATACCTTAAAAAATTGATAAAAAGTAATAGAAATGGACTGATTTTCATCTCTATTTTGAAATTAACTCATTTTATCGGTTTTTTAACATACTAAAATGGTTTTGGTGCGTTAATTTGTTTATTAAAAAAAAAACAAATCGATATTTTTGACTTAAGACCTTTTTACTTATCAGTATAGAAGTGATATATGGGCTATATTAAATTTTACAGAAAAAAATACAAGACAGATATACTCAAAAACCATTAGTTTTACTAATCACTTTGTTTCTCAGTCTAACTATTACTTTACGACTTTCTCATTACTTTTCTTAGTGTAGTAAGTAGTTTAACTGTCAATCTTTATACGAAATTTTGGTCCTACGAACATCAAAGTACTGACAAAGCCATAGATAAATAATATAATAGTAGAAACTTTCGGTGGCTTTCGCTTCTTGACATGCGCACTCTTCTGCTCAGTCATGTATGTCAATGACATAATATAAGCAATTTTTCAGGGAGGTCGAAAAACTAGTAGTTTTGCTCTATTGCATTGAGTTAGGTTCTAACTCGATGCTCTATTGATTCCAAACATGAGATTAAAACACTCATTTCAGTTAAGGTAGCTAAAGATAGTTTTAAAAATTGATATACTTTTAAAATTACTAATTTAATAATGTTTGTTTAGGTTTACCGCCAGAAAACAATATGACATTGGAACACAAGTTACCGTTTTTAATGGCAGAAAATTCAAAATTGGACGGTGAACCATTACCGAAAAGAATTAAAATGCAGAATGGACAGCATTAGAATAATAATATGTTTTATATGATATATTTTTTAAAATTGTCAGATAATCATATATATTTGTAGGGTAATAAAACGTTGATAAAAAGTTTAGCCTTTATCATTTGTTTCTAGAGATGTCCTCCATATACTTCATACTAAATTACAAAACTCCAACCACTGACCTGTTCACATTTCTTAAACAATCTAGTGTGACGTATTCCCAGGAAAAGTTTTAAAAAGTGACTCATTAGGCTTATTAGTCGGTGGTCCTTGCAGAAGTTCGCATGTGGTGTTTTTGGTAGGGCGATAAATGTAGATCGAAGCCAATCTTTTGGAATCTGGCCCGTACGTATCGTAGATGTCGTTAAAGAGCTTGACAATAATGTCTAGCTTTTTTTCATTAAGTAACTTGATTGTTTCTGCGTACATATCATCTGGTCCTGGGGTTTTGTTACTTTTTAATAGTTTGATAGCGTGTACAATTTCAGCTTTCAAAATACTTGGGCCATACAAATGATCACCCCATTATGGTGGTTTTTGTGTTCTGTCATCATTGAACAGATTGGCTGTGTATGTTTTCTAAGTATTAAGAATATCGCTTGGGGCCGATATTAGTTCATTTTGGTCATTATGTATACCAGTGACTTGTTTTTTCTTGAAGACACCAGCAATTTCCTTAATTTTCTTGTGAAGATTGAAGCTGTCGCCGAGTTTATATAAGTTTTCAGCCTCGGTGCAAAGTGTAGTCATCCAGATCTCTTTTGCCACTATAATTTCTTTACGAATTTGACTGTGCATATTTCGGTAACCTACTTGGTCCTGCCTAATCTTACACTGCCTGCGTTGTTCCATCATCTCTAATATTTCTTCTGTTATCCACTCATTCTCGGTAGTTGTTTTACTCTCGAGTAGAAAAGTGTTGTTCACCTCATCAAAAGATTCTTTTATGGTGGTCCATGACTTTTCAACGTCATCCTCAGTTGCCATATTAGAGAACCTATTGTTTCCTCCTGTGTACGCTTCACTTGTTTCAATGTTTTTGAGTTTTCTAATGTTTACTGATGCCTTCTTTTAGCTATAGCGAGCCTCAGTTTAATATTTGCTACTAAGGGATTGTGGTCGGATCCTATGTCTGCCCCAGGTAATGCAGATACTTTAGTAATAGCATTCCTTACCTTCTATTAATTGTCACATAATCTATTTCTTCTAGTTCCTTATAATGCCCTGATGTTTGTCTAAAGGCGACTTCCATGTGTAAAGCCTCCTGGTTGCTAACTTATACCAAGTATTCGTTATGACTAGATCTTTGTCTTGGCAGTACTGTATCAATCTGTCCCCTCCGTCGTTTCTCTGACCAAGACCATATTTTCCAACTACGTGATCTACGGCTTTTTCCCCAATTTTTGCGTTAAAGTTTCCTAATACTATGTTAATTTCGTGATTCTTAGTCACCTTTAAGGCTTCGTCTAGCTGTTGATAAAATCGCTCTTGTTCTTCTTATCGCTTGTCTGCTGTAGGGGCGTAGACTTGTATAATATTTATGTTAACTTTTCCATGCAACTGAATAAGTATGACTCTTTCGGAGATCGGGACAAAGTTCTTCACGGAGACGCGCAAATTTTCGCTTATCAGAACTCCCACCCCATGTCTGTGCTATCACTGCATGAGTAGTAAAGGGTGTAGTAGTATTGATAATGCCTGTGCCTTCCCATCGCAATTCGCTTATGCCGAGAATATCGATGTTAATTCTGTTCATTTCCTGAATTAGATTTTGCAGTTTGCCTGCTGCAAATAAGCTTTCTTTTCTATTAGATGTTTTTCTCTGATCTTACGAAAGGTTTCACATATTATATTCCCGAATAATTCGACTGCATTATATGTTTGCTCCTTGTTACTTAGCTTGTTTGAAAGAATTCGTGCGACTGTCTCTTCTTTTTCCCCATCTTTTAGTATTTTTAGTCTGATCTGACGATATCATCACCGGGGCATAATAACTTTTAACTGATAGGCATCCATTACGGAAACTCTTGTTTACCATTATATAATTAATTTTATTCTGCATTATGTTTCCTGGTTGATCTTGCGAAGAGACCTAAGTACACAAACGTATTGGTGGTAGGGGTGATGGATTTTGACAAGAGCTATCAGTCATGCCGATTCAGTACAAAAGTTTATCTGTTATTTACAAGGTCATAGTTCTTGTCAAAATCTATTAGCTTTAGTTGGAGGAATGTATTTAGTATTGCAAATTCTTCTTTCTCTACACACAGTTTTAATCTTTCCCCCCTTTCATTTCTCTCCCCTAGACCAAAATCACTAATGAATTCACCGCTTTTCCCTTTACCCCTCTCCAATGTCACTGAGAAGAAGTCATCTATGCCATCAAAAACACAAAAGAGGGTAAAGCTACTGGACCAGATGAGGTGCCCATCGAATTATTAAAACTCATCGATGAAGATGTTATTGATGTAATGGTTGAACTCTTTAATCTAATATATCAGACTGCCACAATCCCCAGACAATGGCTGCAATCAACCTTTGTAGCAATTCCCAAAAAACCAAGTTCAACAACTTGCTCAGACCAGAGAACAATAGCTTTATTGAGTCACACACTTAAAACATTTTTGAAAATAATTCACAGCAGAATTGTTAAAACTCTTGAATATGAGATTAGTGACACACAATTTGGCTTTAGAAATGGTATGAGTACAAGAGATGCTTTGTTCGGCTTGAATGTGCTGGCTCAGAGATGCATGGACATGAATCAGGATATATACTTATGTTTTGTAGACTCTGAGAAAAGGCATTTGATAAAGTTCAACATAAAAAGCTTGTAGATATATTAAAAAGCAAAAATATTGACAGTCGTGATCTGAAAATTATATCTAATTTATATTGGAATCAAACTGCCAAGGTAAGAGTTGACAGCCAGTACACCGAAAATATCAAAATACAGAGAGGAGTCCGCCAGGGTTGCGTGCTGTCCCCACTACTTTTCAATGTCTACAGTGAAGCGGTATTTCAAGAAGCGCTCTCAGACTCAATAGAAGGTATATCTATCAATGGAGAAGTTTTGAATAACTTACGTTTTGCAGACGATACAGTAATAATTACGGATAACAACAATGATTTACAGAACCTAATGCAACGCCTTAATGAACGCTGTCATGAGTACGGACTGAAGATAAATTTAAAGAAAACTAAATGCATGATCATGATTAAATCTGCACATGCAAATATCCAATTGACTATTGAAGATACTGCAATTGAGAGTGTTAATAACTATAAATACTTAGGAACATGGATAACATCAGATGTAGACCAAACCAAAGAAACTAAGACACGTATTGAAATAGCAGGTACATCATTTATTAAACTTAAAAAGTTTCTTTGTTGTCGGGATATAAGGGTTAGAACTACGCCTGAGAATGCTTCGATGTTACGTGTTCTCTACTCTTCTTTATGGTTTGGAAGCTTGGACACTAAAACAAGTTCATCTGAATAAGTTGGCCGCCTTTGAATTTTGGTGTTACAGAAGAATCCATACGAATATCATGGATTCAAAGAATGTCAAACATGGAAGTAACTAGAAGGATAGGAAATGAGGCGGAAATAATATTAACTATTAAAAGACGAAAACTTGAGTACTTGGGACATGTGATGAGAGGGCAAAAATACGCATTATTACAACTTATTATGCAGGGCAAAATCCGAGGAAAGCGAAATATGGGAAGACGAAGAATCCTGGCTTAAGAACTTAAGGGAATGGTTTGAATGCAGTAGTGCAGAACTTTTTAGAGCGGCAGTCAACAGAGTCCGCATAGCCATGATGATTTCCAACCTTCGATAGAAGATGGAACTTAAAGAAGAAGAATGTCACTGTCATTTATTACAATAAAACTACAGAACACATACAATTGTCTTTATTGAACTATGAATTACTTTCATATAATATTGCCACTATAGTTATCCTACTTGTGTGTTCATAAACTATTATTTACATCTTGTAGGAAAATATATAATTATATAACCTTATTACAAAATATTCTGACCAACATTTTAACCAAGTTATTTACATACTAGTGACTGAAACAAGGTTCATAACCTCAAAAAGCATTCTTCATTACATGCAGCAAAAACTAACCCATTCCAAATCATAGGCGCAACTATTTTATATGAATAATTGTATTTGAACAAACATTTGTCAATATAGTTAAAGAGATCAAATTTTATGTAATAATTCTTCTAAAATACAAATATTAAATACAAATACCCCTTCATTATGACTAAATTTTATTTAATACTTGAGAACAATATAGCAGTTTGTACCAGCAAAAACATTAACCTGTAAAAACGGGAAATAATATACGCATGCCTTTAAAGTCTTATAAAACAATGTTTATATAAATACATTACATATATTTTATAGTTTTTATGTACGCCTATGATTTGAAAATTAATATATTCCATCTTAAAAGCAATCAAACCAAAAAAGTTACTTTGTAACAATAAAAAATTTCATAGAAACATCATTCACCCATCGTTAATATTGTATCCAATTAGAATAGATTATTTTCTTAACGACGAATCGAAACATATACAGACTGAAAAAGCAAGATTTTGTTTAATTATTATTTTAAATCTTTTTAGTTTAAATAAGTCCTTAAAAATCCCAAAAGTTATATTAAGTCCGCTTTACATTTACGAGTACCCAATCGCCTACTTTTGAGGTCGGAGTCTTTGATGAGTTGTAGGAGGCAAATAAAAAAAAAAAAGAAAGAAAAGTAGTTTTTTATCTGAAACATTGCAAATGCTGCTACTTACCGATCCCAACTCAGTAGGATACTCTTCCGCAAGCGAAGGAGAAAATGTGCCTTTAGATGATCGTGAAGGTAACACTAGTGATTCTGAGTGATTATTCTTCTTCAGTTAGAGAATACGAATACAGAAAATTTTACAAACAGGTTAACACAAAAAGAAAAGTTTTCAAGCCACAAGCGAACCAAATCAAGGCCCTTAACGGAATTCTTTTAAACGAGAGAGTGGAAGTACTAGAAAGATGGCAGGAACATTTTAGTACGCTATTTAATGGAGA